AGCTATAATCAATTTTGACGGTGTATGCAAATGTGAACTCGGCTACAGCGCCATTGTAAGTGCTCTTCGCGAAATCTCATGTACGGATTTCATGAAGTGTTCCAACACATCAGCACTTCAGCACAGCTCATTATCTCCTGAAAACTTATTTTCAGGTCTACAATGGTTATGGATGTTTTTGTGGTAAAGGAGGTTCTGGCACGCCAGTTGATAGTATCGACCGGTATGTTCTGAAAATCTCAAACCTGGCCTTTTTTTCATAACCCTTCACAGATGCTGCAAAACTCACGATGACTGTTATGATGAAGCCAGAGTTAGCAAGAAATGTGGTAGGATAGACCTGTACATGGATATGTATGACTGGAAGTGCAGCAATAAAAAAGCTATTTGCCAAGGTAGGGAGAACATTCACTGCGATAAAACAACTTTAAAAGAGCACAAAAGATTTTTTAGGGTTATTAATGAGGTACTGATAGCATCATTTCAGGGAAAACAGAATGTGAAAAGGCTCTTTGCGCATGCGATACCGCTGCTGTTCGCTGCTGGGCCCGTTACGCAAAGCCAAAATGGAAGAAAGCTTGCCGTAAGCTTGCAGAGTTTCCAGTGGAATAATCTGATCCAATATTGAACATTTTCTTTGGAATTAAAACTTTGAATTCTCCATTCTATTTGGCCAATGTTCAAGATTATTTATGAGTTTTCAAATAAAAAATCCCTGCGTTTAGTATCGCTTATTGCAGCAAAGTCCTCCATGTATGTATACATTGCAAGAAAAAAAGACATCAAATAAATGCTACAGCGTCAAATAAACATAACTGATACAAAGCTGTTACCCAACATTTGAATTTTCAATTGTAAGGTCCGTGAAGTGCGAGTTCTTTACATTGAGTAGCCATTCCATCGGACCTCACTGTGGATAACAACCAGAGTGTATTTTACTAAGCCTTATTACAAAAGACATAATGATACAATAAACAAAGCATAGGAGATTAAATACCACTACTATGGATACATG